ACGAACCGATTTTGAGAATTCAAATATCGGTTTTATTAACCCTTTCCAAAAACAAATTTGGGGGATTAAACGAAATTATTTATTCGTAACCAAAAATAACACAAACATAACACCTTTTCCCAGCTTTAGGGTACGCTAAAATCACGAAGGCACTAATATGAAATGTAAATCCAATTATGCGTCGGGCGGGATAATAAATAAAATTGAATTGACGAGTTGCTCTGGCGATACTGACGGGATCTATTGGCGAATGTTGAAGAATCGCTCCGATTCGATATTGGCCGGATACGACGGGATTTACTGGCGAGCTATTCTTTGATATTTGGCGGGATCTATTGCGCACGATGGGTTGCTTTGATTGGATATTTGGCGGGATACTTGATGAAATTTATTGATGGGATATTTTGGTGGGATACTCGGCGGGATTTATTGGCGAGCGGCTCTAGTGGGATATTTGGCAGTTCTAACGGGGTATTGGGCGGGATTTATTGAAAATCGGTGGGATTTACTGGCGAATTGTTATAGTGGGATATTTGATGGGATTTATTTACGAGTAATTTTGGCGGGATGAATTTATGGGATATTTATTGGAATTATTTTAATGGGATATTGGGTGGGGGTATAATTTAAAAATATTACAAATACGAATTTTAATATAGAATATAATAATTTATTCTTATTGGAAAGGTAATAAAAATAATAGAAAACCTATTTAATATTAAATAATAAAATCATAAAAATAAATATAATACATTATAAAGATAATTAGATACATTTACAAAAAAAATAAACAACAAACAAACAACAAACAACAAACAACAACGTATTTTGAATATTCTTTAAGGTTTGGAAAGGGTACTACTTTTGTATTATTTTAGGTTCTAAATAAATAATTTCATTTAATGGATATTCGGTAGGATTTATTAACAAAGGATATTTAACGAACTACTTTGAGATCTATTAAGGGAATATTTTTTAAATTATTTATTATGTTATTTTTTATATTTTGAAATTGTTAATATAATTATAATATTATATTTTGATTTAATAATTATTTAAAATAATTCGTTAATAAATTCCGTCGAATATTTTATTAATATTGTTTATTAATAGATTTTATCGAATATCTTATTAAAGATATTCGTTAATAAATTCGGTTTAATATTTCGATATTATCGATTATTTTATTATGATTTATTAATGTATTTCGTCGAATATTCCGTTAGAGCGATTTATTAATAAATATCGCTAATATCCGAAAATCATATTTAATATTCCGCTAAAATTACTCGCCTATCCCGCTTAAGCGGCCCACTTCTGGATCTCGTTAAGTATCCCAATAGAGCAGCCCATTAGTGGATTTCGTTAAGTATTCTGCTAAATATATTTCGCCAATTAGCCCTACCGAATATCTCGTTAATTTCGTTAAACATCCTATTAAATATCCTAGAATAATTTCTCCGAATATCCCATTCGAAAAATTCGTTTAAAAATAAATCTATTTAAAATTTGCAAACTCATTTAATAAACAATATTATTTTCCGTTTATTTTTGTTTTTTTATTAAACCATATTTCATAATATTCCCATTAACCCCTCCCTATCCATTCCTACAACAAACCATTTATAACAAAACCCGAGAAAAAGAATCAAAAATACAAAACCATTTATAATCAATATAAAGAAAAGAAAAATAATATATATATATAATATCTAAAATTAAAAATCAAATAATCAAAAACAAACCAAATATTGCAATCCATTAACAATAATTACACAAAAAACATTCAATAATCTAAAATATTTCACGAATATTTTCAGAATCAATTTATCTTTTCAAATATATATTCAATTTCATCCAAATTTTATTATATCTTTACAACAAATATATATCACCATAATTATTTCATAATTTATCAATATTTCTAACTATAATCCCTATCCGACCCCTATTTATTATAACTATACAATAACATACATATATATATATATATTTATCATTTTTGTAATACATAAAATAATATCAATACATTAATACTAATATATTTAATATTCACTAAATACACATTAATACCATATAATTATTTATTTGCATTTCTTGTCTTTTAAGCTGAATATCATATATATATATATGTAAATATATATATATATATATGTATTAAAGGGAGCTACGAGGAAGCTGGAACCCGAGGTCACACCGGGGCCAGGAAGGCTGCAAAGGGGACAAACAAAGGAAGACACACGGAGGACACGGGGCTACGGACCGGAAGAGAGCTGCCGCGCCAGGGGGCAACATGTGGAATGGGTTCTGAGACAGACGCTCCCAAGGTTCACGAGACAGCTGGGTTGGGAAGTTGTCCAAGCTTTAGAAATTGGCTGTAGCTCAGTAGGCAAAATGCTGATCCATCATGTTTCGACTGCCGTGCCCCAAATAGAGACTATCTTGAAGAGTGATGGGCTAATGTTGGTCTAACTTGCCGCCTGTCTTTCTCGTGCGCACACCCTCATGTTTGCTGCGCAAAGCATCTCTTGCCGCTCGACATTCGGGGAGTAGCCATTTCAGCCATTGTAGGCGAAGGCCGCCCATCCGCTCAGATCCAGTGATGCTAGTCTGTGCCTTGCAAAACACAAAGAAACTTGCACTTTGGCCTATTGCGACTGCATGGCTTGGGATTTCAAGCTCTGGCGTTTGGGGGTTTTCTGCACTGTGCTTTGCAAGCGGCCCAATGCCGTGAGCCCAGTACTTGACATTGAAAGGCTGCCACATGAAAACTTGAGCTGCCAAATGTAGAGCTAAAACACAAACTCGAGTTTTGCTGCCCCTTCTGGTGATATAGTTTGTTCACCCCTTATCGTCTTAGATCTCGACTCCTGACACCAATAGTACGCACTGTGCTGACACCTGGGTATTGAGATGCTTTGAGAATATGCCTGCTCACTACACCATGTGTTGCCGACCGAACGACGATTGGACAAAGACGCGGTCTCCAATTCGTTTGGTCGTTTGAAGGTATCATGCTGGATGCTGAGAGCATTTAGGACCATATCATTCAGCTGATGATTGAGTCCAGCACCCAAATCACAACTTTTCTGCACATGTGTATAATATAAAGCAGCCTCACAGGCATGAACCTGAGGAATTGTTAATATGGGTTTGTGGCCTTGCGGCGCTTGTCTTTTGCTAGAAAAACAACAACCGGCGTTTGGGGTCCCAAAGCTTGAGACACAGATTCCCGGTTCTTGGCCCACAAGCACAGAACAGTCCCCACTTGCACAAAATCAAATCGCAGTGCTTGAGTCAAGACGCCTCATGGCTCGCTTCCTAGTCCCGCGAATCCAAGGGGTCTTGACATTCCAGCCATGACATGAACACTGGACTGCCCTCGACAGCCGATGGATGCTGACACCTTCCGTGCATGGGCGCGTGCTTTTAGATGTCTCGAGTTGGGTGCTCCGTGACTGAATGTCGGCTAACATCAAGCATATTGACCATATTGATGATGTAACTGCATGAAGCTGCAGGAAGGCAGGGTGCAATGCCCTGAGTCAAACGCAGTTGACTGCAATGGACTCTAAACCCCGCTACCTTGGAGGCAGGGGACGACTTTGGAGCATCGGGGCCTTCTCGTCCTCTCGGGTTTCACACGCAAGGCTCACCAGAAGGACCAGGACTTCTTTTGCGTGGCAGCAGCAGCCTTTGGCGGGGGGCCGTTGGGCATTTGCAGGACCAACTCCCTAAACATGGCCTTCATGTTTTGCGTCTTGCTCGGCCGGGCTTTATCTGCAAGAATTGCCCACTTTGGGTTTCTTTGTGAGATCGAGGAGGGTTGCGGCCCACAAGGCCCGCATCCCGGCACCCAAATCCTTCACCAAAGCGCCGAGCCGCGGGCCCGAGGTGAACCACATTGCATTCGAAGGGAAACCCAAAGGTCGGTCAAACAGTGGACTGTTGAAACATGCAAGGCCCAACCCCGGGCAGGTTCTTCGGTGCCAAAGCCGAAGAGCCCAGGCTGCCCGCCTTCACCTCTTCCCCGGTCTTTGCGCCAGCAGCCTGGCGCAAAATAGCCCCCCGAGGACATACAACTCCCCACGCAGTACAAGGACACGATTCAGAACTTTAGCATGTCAAGTGGACATCCATATGAAATACTCATCTACATACAATACAAATACTCATCTACATACAATACAAACATGCCACGGGGATGGCTGACAGAGGATTGCAGTGCTGGCCGTTCGTGTACCGTCGAAAGCACTGCGGGTCCAAACTGTTCGACATGACTGAGCACGATGCTGGCAACCAAGGAGATGGTGGACACGCCAACACGTGCGGCTGCCCTTTGGCCTTCCCGTTAAGACAACACAGAAGGGTACCATCAAAACACACGCACCAGAACTTGCGTCCATGAAGCAACCTTCTCATAGTCCAAGTAAGATCGTTCCAAGCAAACTATGTCTACGTTCACTTTGCATGGCACGTGCAAGCCATGTATCAATCGTATCGCTCTGCGGAGCTCTTGTGCTGTATTGCCTGTGCAAAGTCTGTCATGGCCTATCAAACTTGACGTTCGGGCTCCAAATGTCCGATGGTAGAAACACTTGTGAAAGCTTTCTTTGCATCTGGACTTGAGACACGTAGCAGTTCCAATCTTCCGCTGCCACAGGATGCGGCGTTGGATCCTGGTGCTTTGCAGGAAGTACATGAGAGGTGAAGCTTGGAGACGCTGGGCTCTTCGAATTCGCAAACAGTACCATGGGATGCGGCGCGCGTTTTGCGGAGACACGCCAAGGTTTGGAGCCCATGCAAACCCTATGGGCAAATGCAACCGCAACCCTAAAAAAAAAAAAAACACCTAACCAGCCTGGCCACAAAGCATCTGGATAACAACACAACACCCTGCAAGAGTCCAACCCCCACATGTCGTGCTACTTGAAGCGAGAAAAAGGCGGGACCTACCGGATGCAAGTGAACAGTCAAACATTTGAACTGGATGCAGTGCCCACGTGTTGGTGGTATGTGCATCTACAAGTGCATACACATATGATCATATATTTGTATGCAACATATGTGCTTGTATGCGTAATTACTACACATAATCCAGACATAGACCATTAGTTCTGGGAGGTGGGGGGGGGAGTCAACACGACGGCGGGAAAAATTGGACCACTCAATGTCACCCGAGATAGCCCCAGGCCCCAGAAAGGTCCCTCTTACAATAATGTATGTTTGAATACATTGGAAAACACAAATGGCCTGGGCATAGGATCCGGAGACAAAACGTTCAAGAGATTCAAGGCAACACGCCTATCTCACACAAGGTGCCAAAAGACAGAGCATCAAAGAATTGGTCCTTGTCATTGTAATTCACCCAAAACTGATTTCTCCTGTGTCCCATTCGCCTTCAAGAGTGTGACCACCTCCCGGTGGCTTGTCTCGAATATCCTCGCTTTCGCGAGATCCAGCGGCGTCTTGCCTTGGAGCCACCAAGACCTGAAATGCCATCCTAATCTTGAGGACACTCTGAAGGCGTTGCGCAGATCTGGAACTATTGACCGGCATCTGGGGTCCTGGCCAGTGTAGTCTAATTTATCCTGGCGGGATCGAAGCTTTTGTAGCAGGCCCGCAGATTGATGCGCAGCATGGAAAACATCAAGATGAACCCTGGCTTTGAGCTTCACTGCTTCACAGCTTCACATCGCGTTCACCATGGCCCTGAAAGAAAGAAAGGGGGGTGCAAGGGGGTGAGACTTGAACGTTCTCACGGAAAGTCAAAGATTGGGATCCTTTGGGTACCCATTGAGGTGACATCTTGTGCCGTCCGGGGCGGTTTTACAAAATGGGTGCCACTTTTGTCCGCGTCATCTAAGCGCACGTTGGTCAATGCTTTCGCACGTATCTGTGTACCCAAGGTCTCCCACGCACTGACCATTTGCTCTAGGCAACGTATAGACTGACCAATGAGAAGGAAAGCCGCGGCGCCAAAGATGACACCATGGCGAAGAGTTCCCACAGACTTCCTTGCAAATAAACGTCCTGAAGTCGGCTTCACACAACCACACCAGGCCAACGGCACTCTGCATACCTGACTCCCCAACCTGAAGAGGATGTGGAACAACGGAAATGGGTCTGGCGAAATCCCAACGGAAATTCAACCCCTGCTTTTTTGGGGGGTCCCCGATTTGACGACAAACGGGACACACAGGCGCCCTTCAAAACTTTGGGCCAGTGTCTTGCTACAAATTCTCCCCAAACAGACGGCTTGGTCTCGCCCCCTCGAAATCGGCGGATCCGGGGCCTCGCCTTGTCGGCGCCGTGGGCAAGGAGCAGCTTCACCACCTCTGGGCTCCCGCTGGCAGCGAAGTGCAGCGGCGTCCAGCCTCGAAGCGTGGACAGTGAAGCGAAAGGCCGGCCCAAAACAGGATTAGAGTTAGGCCCAGTTTTGGAATGTAAAATTTATTGTTTGCTTCACTTTGAGCCACTGGTAAAATGTAAAATGTATCCTAAGTCTACCCCAGAAAAGGAGACGGGAAGAGCCCACGGTTCTTGTGACAAGTGAGTTGAGCCTTCACTTACAAGGGAAGAAACCAAGGTCCACTGATTGGGCAAGTTTGAGTGGTTGTCGTCGATTTCGCCGGCACTGCCTTCCCATCATTTGGGGCCTGCCCATACTTCTTCAGGTGAGCCCTGGGGCAAGGGCCCTTTTGTTGCGACGCCTTACTGTTGCCTCGTTTCCTTCCTATTCCAAACAGTTCGTTCTCCTTCCGGAAACCGGCTCATGGGTTAACTGATCGCACCTTCATGGGTTGCCAACATCGCAAACGGGTACTGCCAAAAACCACCACCCTCCAGGATTCATTCGAACCGCTCCGGCGTGAGAAATACCCAGGATTCAACCAACAAAAACAACGATGCTTCATTTGGCCACCAAACACGCCCGAGTTGCTCGGGTTGGGGTAAACCATTCCCTCTAAAACCTTACCTTTCTTCGGGGGGGTTGGTATTGAATGAACCTTCAGTCTGGCATATGGGTTAACCAATGGTGGCTTCCTGCAAACCAGAAACCCCCGAAAGGGCTACCACTAAAACGGCCACCCGGTGCTTGCAAAGTGGACAGGCTGAGCGGCCCAGCGGTTGTTGCCCAACTCGTCCTGGCGCCGCGCGTGCCCATCGCATCGGAAGGCAAGTCACGCCAGTGCCAGGGCCTGTTGGCATGCGAGTGGCTCATGCTGAACCCGCAAGGCTGAAGACATCACCCCACTTGTAACCCCGAACACTTGGTAGAACAACATTGGAAACACTTCTTCATAGGGTGGATCCTGCCATGCAAGGAATCCACTGGACAAAAAAATATCGGTGATTGTCAATTGACGGTTGCTCATCATTGGCCCCGCTTAGTTGCCACCTCCGTCAAACACAGCGTCCCCTCAACACAATCAGTCCCCCGGAAATAGGTGACCACGCACCAAATCAATTGGATTGGGTAGTATTGCTGGGGCCAATTTTGAGCTTCCATTTGAGTGCGGTTGCTGGAGTTTTGTATTGAGATTGGAGGGATTCGAGTCTCGATCTTATTTAGTATTGCCGGGATCTGATATTGCAATTGATTTTGATTTGCCAGACTTGATTCTCTGTTTGCTTCAGCGAATTTGGATTTGAGTTTATACTTGACTTAGTTTTGCTCATTTCAATCTTGGGGAGGGAGATACAACACTTTTGTTTCTTCTTTCTTGTTTCTTTTTCACCCTTTTTTTTGCGGGGGGGGGGGGGTAGACTATGGACAAGGCCGTCTTAGCATTGGGCTTAGACTCAAATAGATCTTTCTCTTACTTAGCCCAAAGGGCCAAGGCTTGAAGAGGATCACTCCATTTGTTGCCACATTTTCTCTTCTTCTAAGAAACGCATCCATACTTGGGTTGAAATCCGAACCTCTCCCTTTCGGATCGTACCCCCTTTCCAAAGGCACCCCAAATCCTTCCCAATCCCCCAACCTCCGAATCCCCAAACGGGCGTCTTTCGACAAAGGGAGCCCTTTGATGGACATCATCTAGGCGGAACTTCCTGTCCACCAACCACCTTTGAGGTTCTTTCCCTAATGTTCCTTCCCACCTTCCCCACCTCCCCTTTCCCCCCCGCAACCCCCATCCCCCAACCCGCCGCCTCCCCCCCCCCGCCTTGTCGGCGCCCGCAGCCAAGGCCCGCTCCGCCGCTTTGACGTCCCCGAAGAAGGCGGCCGTGTGGAGCGGCATCGGCTCCCGGTCTGAAAAATGGCACACGGGGGCGGCGGTTTGTTGAGCTCGTATCCATTTTGTGGTTGGTTTGAAGGGAAACCAGAAAAGCAAGCCATGCTGTCTTTTTTGGGCCTATGTTGCGAGGACACATTTTTTTGGGTCACAAACTTGGTGCTTTTGAACGGGGGCACAAAAGGGCCCCAACAGAAAGATATGCATACCCTTTTGAACAATTTGAGGTGGACTTGGAAAAGGGTGGAGCTTAGGGCAGTGACGAAACGATGTTAGCAACACAGGGGTTAGCAACAAACAGGTCCACCCGGAGCAGAATTGATTTGGAGCTGGAGCTTCACCCTTGGCCTTGAAGATTGTGCTGGGCTGACATCATTTTCATGAACAAAAAGGGGCTCACCATATTGATAAAGCCATGCGCGCGAAGAAATGCCAAAGGCATCCTAAACGTGCGCAGGCAACTCAATTATGCTCTGCTTTCTCGTTTTCGACCCATATCAACAATCGCCCTATATCCGCCTTTCCAAACTTCGTTCTTCGGGGGCTTTCCCATATGCACAACCCACACGCTTCCCGCAGCAACAACTCTGAGTTCATCCGGTCAGACTCAGGTTGTTTTACCTGGCATGACAAGACCTCCTTTCAATGATTCAATTGCGGGTCTTGACTTTGACAGCAAACCAGAGTACCTTTGTGTGCACTAATTGCCATGCACCCACCAGGATTCCTCAGAAAGCTTCATGCCGGGAATCCTGAACCGCACCCATCCTCAGTCCCTCTGTGCCAGGCCTTGCTTGGCAGCCTGGGTTGGGGCGTTGGGGCTGCATTGTGTGCTGCTTACTCCCTGTGGAAAATCAGATGAAACCCAAGAAAGACATCTTAGCGGAAGCTCCTTCTGGGGTGCCATGTCCATTTGGGGAGCTGTGTTGCTTCCAAGGATGTAAACAAATGCACTCGCGATGCCCTTTCCTTTGCTGACATGGCTTCTTTCCACTGTGGTCCATACCAACACGACTCAGAAATAGTCCGCCAAGGTTAGGTTGGGACATTCGCCAATAAAGCCCGTACTAGAGGGTTTGCCCCCGACCTGATCGGAACAACCGACTATTCTAGAAAACAGTTTGGATGCGGTTTTTGTGGATTTCACCCGTTCTTCCCACTGTTCTTGCCCCTGTAGGTCTTCCAAATGTAGGCTCTTTTCTAGAACTCTTTTAGTACCTTTCTTGTATCCTACAGGGGTGGAATCCACAAAAACCGCATCCAAACCGTTTCCCAGAACTATCATGTCCTGACCTAGTAATGGCATCTTCTAGGTTTCTCGGACACATGGGCCCAAGTTTGCTTGTCCAACCCCCTTGCAGTTCAGACTTCCACCTTGTTCGGATTCTCCAAAGTGGGTCTTCCCCCCCGCCCCCGAACGAGCAACAAGACATCTTACCCTGAGACATCCAAAGATGCTACCGTGTTTACCAGATCACAAGACTTGGGTCGGTTGACCAACAGTTCTCAACTTTTTGTTTGGAACTTTCGCTTCTCAATTATTCCAAGCAGTGTAAGTGCCAAGAAAAGCGCAAACAAAACGTGTTGGGAGGTTTTTGCTCCACAGCTGCAACCCCTTGGACCTACAGCCCTTGGCCATGGTGTGAGGCAAAAGGGCCCTTGAGGGGCGCAGCTCATTTCACAAAGGAACCTTCCCCGGACACGAAACAAGACACCAACCATGCTTTGGAATCCCCAGTTGCACAAACAATGCGTACAAGCTTGCCTGCTCACAAGAAGAGGTCCAACCATCGAGCCAGAACGCAAGCATGGATTCTGACTTTCCTCTTCCACACCCCTCATTCTGGGGAACATGCTCATGGCAAAGTTCAATTTGCAACAGGTCCAGCCGCCCTCTTGCCAGACTTGAACCCAGGACACCCCAGGCAAGCCATGAGCAACATTGACATGGTCCGATTTGAGTGCAAGTCTCGCCGCTTTGACAATCGTTCCTGGCAAGAGATCACTTGGTTTTATGCTCGGTTGGATGTTGGCAGCACAAGCATACCCTTCGGCTTTGAGGAAGACACTGAAGCAGAATCTGCCAGTGGTTAGGTTCTATACCGCCTCACACACTTGATCCATTTGCAACCCCCAACCTTTGCTACTGAGATATCACCGAAAATTGACCCAGAACAGTACATGGCCCAACAAGACAAAGAAACCCAGACTCCGACTCCGTCCCACCTGCAGTTGGCCGATGCCATCCTGAAGTGTGGCTTGGCTGGAGACTTCACCCATGCAACTGACCAAGCGACCCTTGCGGTACAAAATGAACAAACATCAGCCAGCTCCTTTTGGTTGGGTTCAGACATTACCAAGTAGCGTGACCATCTTCCATGTTTTCTGGAGGTCAAGAAAATGCCAATCCGCTAAACGACCGGGTGCCATAAAGGGCTGTTTCAGTCATGGGTAAGTGTGAAAAATTGGGATACCAAATAGGGGTTCCCCTTTTTGGACACCACCGCAACAAACGTACCCTCAAAAAAACACAGCCCAGAGATGCTCTGTCACTTGCGAAACTTGTATAGGTGGCAAGCCTCCATACTGCACAAAAAAAACAACAACTCCTAAGGCATATGAGATGTTCCCAGTCAAGAGATGACTCTCAACCACAAGCACTCTGGGTATATGTAAGCCGTTTGCAGACTGGTATTTTAAACAAACACGAAACCTTTAATCCCTCCTTATGATTGTCCCTGTATTCTTTTGATTTTGCTTTTTGATACTAATTGTTGTTCTCATAGCATTATCCCTGTCCTTCTTGTATCTTTTCCTTAGTTAATGGGTTGTAACATTCTTTATATTCTTTTGCTGTCATTCCTTGCTACTTATCTATTTACACAATCATACTTTTAATGTAATTAGTAATAACCCTCTCGCCTTCTCAATTCTTTTTTACTTTCACAAGGGTAGTTTTCGATAAGTTCAATCTTACAATTTTCGAAACCAAACTCATCAAACAACAAAAACGAATAAATATCTTTCTTGTTGGTTTTACTTTTGTAATATTGTATTGAACTGATGATGAGCCATTCTCTGACTTAGACTTTCACAAGTGCTTCCAACATAACATTTGTTATCACCTATATCCATAGTTTTAAAGATTTAACGTTTTCATATCGGGCCATATCTTTATATATCTTATGTTATCTTTTCTTTAAACAATTTTGTGATGACCATATGGCAATGAATTAATACTGTCTATGTAACAGCGTTTGTTTTCATAGGCACTAAGCGATTGCTTTGCTTGAGTTATGCTGTATATCTGATGTGCTTTATTTCTGATGCTTTACTGTGTCACAACTATTATCTTCAAGTGTGTCATCATAATTGTTGGAACTCAACTCGGATTTCACCTTATGTTTCACAATTCCTTTGCTCGTCTTTTCCTCTTTTATCTCATTATGAATTTTGAAGCAGTATGATTTCGGTTTCAATGCTACAAAGTTGGTTATAATCTTTCCATCGGCCTCATCCTTAAAGCAACCAAGTTTCTTTTATTTGTTTTTAACAAAGCTGTTGTGTTCTGGGTCATAACCGCTGAAACCCATATAAGTTTCAATATCATTAAAGTCATCATATATAAATAGTTGGTTTTGAAATGTAATACAAAACTGTCAATATCAATATATAGCCATCCTTACATCGTTTCCATATTTAGGTTTCATAATATCATAATAAAATGAATGCATATGTTTCTTGGATAGGTCTGAAAAACTCATTCCTACATAAATGGTTTTATGAATTTTCACTACGCTTTTCGTCTTTTCAACGCCTATAAGATTTTCATTGATGGTGTGTCTGTATTTGAAATCTGGATAATTCACACGTTTTTGGTGCGCTCAGGAGTATCAACCAGTTCAAAGTCAATGTGCTCTCTCACAATTTCCATCGTTTAACGGGTATTCTCAAAAAGAGGAACTCCCCCGATTTTGCTTTCTAACTGGGGGGGTGCCAACCACATATATATATATATAAATATGTATATATACAAATACAAAGTACTGTTAACCTTGGAGCAACTGTGAAACCTGAATACCGGTCAAACCGGCAATGTAGCACTCCTTTTGTACTGGTGCGATGCTGAGGCTAGGCGATGCTGTAGGCTCAAGGCCTAGCAAGCGCCACATGTACTGCAAGCTGTGCAAGGGTTGTCAAGACATGTTGTATATTGACGCCCCTCCTCAAAGCGTACTGCGACCAGTACACTTTGCAAGTTGCAATGTGCAAAAAAACCTTGTCGCTTGGGGTGATGTAAGACAAACTGCATGCAAACTGGTCGCCAGATACGCAGATGTACTGTACAATTGTGTCCCTCGTGGTCGGCCCAATTGTACCATGATATGCGGTGTGCCTCTAAGGCTGACCCAAATTGTACAGCATCCTTTAACCCGACTGCTGTTGCAAGATCAGGTCCGTGTTGTGATGCTCCTGTGCGTCAGCCGCGTAGTTGGCTGTACCAGGCTGAGGCGCCTCCTTGGCGCCACCAACTGTAATGCAGTTTGCGATCATGTACCCCTAGTGTTACTGCGAAGCGGTTCATGTAGTTCCAGCAATGTAGCATAGTTGATCTGTCCCAGTGCCATTGTTGTAGAAGCGTGGGTCCTGTCCTGCGCTGGAGCTATCAAAGGCTTTTGTAACTCAATGATCACATGTGAAGCCACACGTATGCAGAGCTCAGGTGTCTTCGCTGTACATTGGCCATGTCTTCCCTGTAATTCTGCGCGGGATGCTGGAATCCGGCTTCATGGTGTATGTGAAGCTGTAGCACATGTGAGGCAAGTCCCCTGCTGGACGTTGTAAGGAATTTCCTGTACGTCTGATGCTGCTCAAAGTGATCCAAATGCATGTAGGGGATGTACATGATGTTCTTGTTGATGGATGTATCATTGCCCTGTGAGAACAATAATGATTCGTGTCCACAAGCGGAAAACAAAATGCATGGGGCCCTCAACCATCCAGGCAATGTACCCATGCGGGTTGTACCATTGCTTGTAAGCAGATTCATGCGCTCCTGTGTAATGGGGAAGTAGTAGCCGATGTAGTTCGTGCGAACCTAACCTGCTCAATGTGGAACCCTCGAGAGATGTCCATCGGGTTGTGGGGCGTCTTGTAGGCCCTGTCGATGTTGGTGATCGACAGTGTTGCACCACAAGTGTACAGGTAGACAAAAAATGTAATACTGAACGGCTGCACATGTAAATCATCCAATGTACAAATGCAAAATGTCACGCAAAAAAGTACCCCGGATGTAAAATCTGTAAAAGGGGGTTGTGCACACGAGGGGTCGATCCATGGCTATGTCCTACCCTAAACTACTATGCCGGCTGACGTAGTAGTGTTTGTTTGTGCAACTGTTGTTTAACAAAATGTGGAAGCTGTGTGAAACTAATCGTGCTGGCCTCACAGGCCCACTGTGTGCATGTGCTTGCTGAGGGTGTCACAGCCGACAAACCTTGTCAGTATGTCAGCTGGGTTGTCTTTTAACTTGACCTTGTGCGTTGTGATGATTTTGCTCTTGACAAGCTGTTGTATGAAGAGGTGTCGCAGCTCGATGTGTGTTGCTTTCGTTCATGTACCTTCTCTCACTGTGATTGACTTAGCTGCGCTGCTGTCTGTGTGTATTCTGATGTTGGTGCGAACTTCAAACGCTTCCTTGATGACGTTGCTAATGTAGAGGCTCTCCTGTGCTGCTGTCCAATCTAGTACAGTTCTGACTCTGCTGATGAAGGTGCTATTGTTGCTTGTGTTCTGCTTTCATAGTGTGTTGCTGTTCCAAAGAAGTGTGTCACAAATCCTGTTGTGCTCTTTCTTGTTGTCTCGCATGATGCGCAGTTGGCGTCTGTGTATGTGTCGATGTTGAGTGGGATTCGCTTGTGCTGAATTTGTATCTTTGGTCGTAGGTTATGTCGGCTGTACCCTTGTGCCTTTGAGGTACCTTATCATGTGCCTGAGTTTCTTGTTGTCAATCAGTGTTGGTGTTTGTAGTGATCTTGCTAGTTCCTCTGCTCCATAGCTGATGTCTGGTCTGGTGTATGAACCATTGTACCTTGCCAACAAGCCGCCCGTGTGTCTCAGCAGGACTTGTGTCTGTATTCTGCTGAACGGTGTGTCAGTGATGCTTTGTGCTCCTATGAACAGGAGGTCGTCTACATAGATTGTGATATAGACTAAGCAGTCTTTTGATCTGTAGACATTGCTTTCTGTTGTGCATCTCGCAAGTTCAAGTGTGACAAAGAAAATGTGGGCTATGTTGCCTTTGTTTTGGTCATGATCTTAAGCCGTAGATGGCTTTGCTCGGCCACATTATGTGTCCGTTTGCTTCGTTGTAGGATTCTTGTTGTGGTCTCATTACCAAGTTGTAGGAGATTGCTGCTGCATGTAGGAATGCAACACTGACATCTCCTGCGCAGACCGACCAGTTGTACGACCAATGCCGTTGTGAGCAATATTCTCAGTATGCAAAACAGTGGTGCACTCAAGAGTAGGTCGTGGTCTGCAACGGGTTCTGTGTAGCCCTTTGCTCCAATTCGTGCTCGTACCTCGTTGTTTTGTTTTGAGAACCCATCTTGATTCAATAATGTTTGCCCGTTGTTCTGGTGTCATGGTGTTGCCATCAATCTCTGAGAAGACTGATTGGTCTTTCATGTGTTGTACTTCTTTCTTCATGCCTTGTGAAACCATAGCAGATGTGGTCGAGTCTCCATTTGTCTGCCACGTCTTGTTGTACACTCAATGGCATTGATTCTCATCTTGCCTTTTGCTTGTTCTGCTGTTGTAAGTCGTTCCAGCGCTTGTCTTTCTGTTGTCGTGCGTTGCTGCTTGCCTGTGCTGCCCTCTTCAATTGTGGCATCTCTTTCTCTTGTGGGTGATGTAGGCGATGGTGCTGGCAATGCTGGCCTCTTCTGATGTGTTGGTGATGTAGCCATTGGTGATTTGGCTCACTTGTCTTCTTCTGTTTTGCTTGTTGTTCACCCTGTTGTGCTGTACTCTGTCTCTTACATTCTGCTGCTGTGCTCGTTGCTGCACCCTTCCGTGGTGCAGGTGACTTGCTTGTTGCCGGCGCTGCCGAGCGCTGATGCTGGTGTCTTCCATGGGCCTGTGTTCACACAGTCCAGCAGTTGTTGGGTGTACTTGTGAAGCATTATCTGCCTTCTGAGCCAATATATTTGCCTGTGGTTGTATCCTTGCCAATCCAGATTCCTGTAAAAAACCTTGGCTTGAGTTTTGGGAACTGTTTGCTTGTAGGCACCGTGTGCTGCACTGTCTCACCAAACTTGCAAAGCGGTGTGTTTAGTTCTCTGTTCCATCTGTTGCAGTAGCTTGTGCATCCATTTCTGTGGATTGCATACTTGATGATGTATGCGCTGTGTCCGACTTTTCAAGGCATGAGTGGGTGTTCCAGCGCCTGGTTGTTGTTCCTCAATCATCTGCCTCGAGTCGTGTGGCAAATTTGGATGTTCTTCGAAGTTTGTCCAGCCTGTCCAAGGTCTGTCCGGTGTCTTTGCTGGCTGTGTTGTCCATTCATCTACAAGCCTTATGTTGCTTTTGTCTCCTATTGGTTGTACCTTTGTCTGTCTCCAAGGTGTAACCCGCTTGATGTCTGGCCAGTCATGTGTCTGGTCTGGTATGTAACATGTACTTCTGAAGGATGCGGAAGTCCTTGTCCAGCTGCACGTCTGGTGGTGTGTGGTGCTGCTGACTCCTGAATTGTTGGTGGTGTTGTCTTCTCTCTCAATCGTGTGCGTGGGTTGTGCCTACTTACTTGTGGTGTGACCTTCTGTGGTGCGCTCTTTGGCTGTGTCTTTGTTGTACGCTGTTGCTGTAGTGTCTTTGGCAGTGTCGTGTCTTTCTTGATCCTGAAAGCTGCTTTTCCTTTCCACATCTGTTGTTTCTCTCTGCTTGGAACATCCATTGTTTGATGCTTGTCCTCAAACGTGTTCGTTGTACCATCTTTGAGTCTGATGGTTGTTCTCCTGCAGTCCTCAATTTGTTCTGCTGGAGCTGGACACTGTCTTCTTGCTGGTGTGAAGAGTGTCTTCCTGTACTGTCTGTGTAGTCTGACAAGTTCACCTTTTGCATTGGGCTGCCAGTAGTCTTCTGCATCCTTTGTGTCTGCTGTACCTTGTGTGGCAAGTGTTGCTGTCGGTGCTATCATACCAATCTGCCCTTGTTGTGTGCCGTGTATCTCTAGCTTTGTTCCTTTTCGTGATGCAGTGACTTGTGCTTGTAGGAAGAACTGTTCTCCAGTGTGCCGTTGCACCCTTTGTTGCGCTGTAGTCTTGGATTGTCATCCAGTGTAAGTTGGAAGCCTTGTCCCACCACCCCTTGAACTTAGAAAGGTATGACACGCTGTTGTCCGCGGTTTGGCATGCGAACCCATCTGCACCCGTTGGTTGGTCACAGTTCTCAGTTGTGGTCCTGATCCATGCTCAAGTCGCTGTAGTGGGAATTGTGTTGCAAACCATGGTGGGCATACAGTGTGGCCGCACCGCTGTCAACCATAAGGCTGACCCATTTGTTGTCTTCTGTAAGGCTGCGCCAATCGTGGCAATTTCTTGTAATCCTGAGATGGGGCCTGCTGATAAATTTGCTGGTTGTGGCAGTGCTAGTTGTTGCACCTGTGTTTGATCCTGGTGGTACCGTTTGCTGTCATAGTGTACTTGGCTGTGCGGCTGTGCCAGTCATCTGTCTGACCGTTGGTGTCAATGTTGTAAACCGCCACTCTGCGTTGTTTGGCCATGTGTCCTGGCTGTCCACATCTGTAGCAAGCATGTATTGCATGTTCTCCTTTTGCTCCTTTTCGTACTTGTAATATCCTTTGCCTTTGCCTTTTCCTTTGTTGCTGTATCCTTTTTCCTTTCTGAATCCTTGCGGTCCTTTGAAAGGATTTCTTTGTCCAACCGGTTGATTGTGCTGCTTGCCTTCTCCTTTGTAGTTGTTGTAGTGGTAGTTGTTCCCGTAGCCGCCGTAGCCCTTGCCTTTGTTGTGCTTTCCTTTGCCCTTGCACTTGCCTTTCTTTCCTTTGCGTCTGTTGTACCACGTTGCTCCTATGTCCATCGGCGCTGGTCCTCGCTTGTTGTTGTTTCCTTGTGTGATTGCTGTAGCCTGTTGAATGATGGCGCTGCTCTGTAGTACTCTATCACCAGAGATCTGATTTGCGCAAATGTTGTGATGTTTCCTGCCTGAAACTGCAAGTGCTGCTGTGGTGGTCCTTTTGTCTCATTGAGCAGTATTGCAATCTTGACTGCGTCTGGTAGTAGTGTGTTGTTGTCTTGTTCGTACTTAGAGAGTTGGGACTCCCACGTTGTGAATCTCTCTTCGAACTTCTGTTCAGCAAGTTGTGGTTTTAGCAGCCTTGTAAGGTGCCCAATGCTTCTTGTACCAAGGGGTATGGAGTACCTTGCATGTATCAGCCGCCATGTTTCGATACCGTTGCCTTGCTTAGTTGTATCCTTTGCTCTGCCACCTGTGAAGGTGCTGCGTTCTCCAGATAGTGTCATCTTGTACTTCCACTCTTCGAAGGTGTTGCATTCTGCTGTGTGGTGATGTCTCGTACTTGTGCATGCCTTCCAGCTGGGCCGCCGTTACTTGTGGGTGTATGGAAAGGCGTAACTGTGTTCACTGCTCCGCTGCCATGTTAAATGTGGAGCAACTGTGTCACCTGAATACCTGATGTGCTGACCTGTGCGTGAGTCAAACCGGCTATGTAGCACTCCTTTTTGCACTAGGGCGACGCTGTAGGCTAGGCGATGCTGTAGGCTCAAGGCCTTGATCCTACGCAGCAAGTGCCACATGTACTGCAAGCTGTACAAGGGTTGTCAAGGCATGTTGTGTATTAACAAGTACATACATATACCTATATGTACATATACACAAATATGGGTTGAAGATGTCGTACAGGAGGTGGATGGAAGATGTCTTATGGCAGTTTCCTACAACTCAACATAGTTCTACTTGGAACGAGGGCGTGGTGTATGAGACACCCTTGTGCTGTACCCTACACGCGATTTGTAGGTAGTCATCCTATGCTGAAAACGGGTGAGCAAAGGACACGCTGGAAAAGGAAAACCAAGAAGTACGATCAACTGAGGAGAAAACAACTGACACTGCTTCCTGAGCGCACCAGGAAAAGAACCTTATTTCTGATGAAACTTCCGACCAACCGCAACACAACCTGCCTGTGGTAGGGGTCACTTCACTACATGTCGAGCCATTGAGATGATCTGGAAAGGTTGCTCACGTTTCGCCTTGCCAAAGTGCACTTGGAACCGGAAGCTTTTAGTGGAAGTCTGACATAGTCGCCGCCGCGTGAAATGCAGAGGCGGCGATCCGGATGTTCCAAAGGTGGGAGAGGTTGGAGAAATATGCCCCCTTGCAAGTTCACAGGAGGAACCACAAAAAGGAGTCCGATCACAAGGGGCCTCTGAACATGAAAGGGTCTTGGGTTCATTCTTTGGAGGCCGATTCCAGAAGGAAAGTCGTCTTCCAAAGGTGGACAATGTATCCCGCCGGCTCCTTCGCAAAACAAGAAGAATGGTCACATGGACAGTATATACGCGAGGAATCTGCTTTAGGTCCGGACCCACTTTTGGGCTCCTTGCCTCGATGCGGACCCCGCTGACCAGGGCGGCCAGCGAAAGAAGATTCGCAAGCTCCATGCCTGGGGTAGTGTAGGTGCCCATATTTGCTCCCCCCCTGTCACAAGAGGGGGGGCCATGTCAGACATCCCAATCACTAACGAAACCAGTGGAGAGTTGTGCAAAAAGAAGGGGGGGTCCGAACTTTTAGACCCTTTTGCAAAACAAATGTTCCATTAAGTGAGTTTCCCTTTAAGGTGGCAGGGTTGAATTGCCAGCCCTGTTTGACAAACAAGGTGGATGCCTTTCGTGGGGCCATGGGCCCTCCTTCCAAGCCCCGAGCTGGTAACTAAGAAACAGGATCCCCGAGAGTAACATGAAAGTAGCCGCGGCAGATACAATGGCTCTATAGAAGGTCTCTTGCATGTCTTCAAGCAGATTCCTTCCGAAAGCTCCGAACGAGGTTCCGCGTAAGACTTCTTGGAGAGACATTCTACCAATGTTTCTGTACAATCCTGGACAAGATCGGCGTGCTCTGCACAAGATCTATGGGTAGGATCTCTTGGCAAGACCGGTGTGCAGGATCCTCGAGAGGCTCCTCCACAAGTTTTCCCTTCAGGATCTACAAGCTCCGTGCGCAGGATGCCTAAGAGTACCCTCTACCAATTCTCTGTTCAAGATCTGTAGGGAGCGTCCTCTACAAGATCTCTTGAAAGAACACTGTGCCGGTCCTGTGCAAGACCTCCTGAGAGAATCTCTATGAAGGACCAGCGCGAGATATCATTGGAAGGTCTCTCTGTGCAAGATCTCTTGATAGGATCTCTTGGCGAGATCTATGTGCAGGTTTCATGGGGGGAGCGTTGGTGTCTAGAATCCAAATGCTTCCAGGCCTGTGCACAATTTTCCTTCAGAAAGCCCCATAGAGTTCACGCAGCCCCCGCCTTTTTTGCACATTTTCCCCAGGTAAAAGTTGGAATGCACGGGTTTCATGCAGCCCCACTGTTCTCACACAAAACGCAAAACAAACAGAACCAACCACAGAAAACCAACAACAATCACATCTTAGCGTGGTGAGCAAAATGAGCGAGACGTTTCAACCCGCTCGAAAAAAAACCACTGGAAGACAGGTCGGTGCCTTCCTGACGCAGAATCGAGTTGCTTTTGCGTCAGCTTCCCAGTAATTCATGAACTCGTTCTGAGAGGGGGCAAGGAGAGTGACTGCAATACTTAGGGAAGGTACAGGAGGCCAAAGGAAGCTAAAGGAAGATAAAGGAGGCTAAAGGAAGCTAAAAGAAGCCAAAGAAAGATAAAGGAAGCTAAAGGAAGATAAAGGAAGATAAAGGAAGATAAAGGAAGCTGAAGGAAGCTAAAGGAGGCTAAAGGAAGCTAAAGGAAGCTAAAGAAAGATAAAGGAAGCTGAAGGAAGCTAAAGGAAGCTAAAGGAAGCCAAAGGAAGCTAAAGAAAGAAAAAGGAAGCTGAAGGAAGCTAAAGGAAGCTAAAGGAAGCTAAAGAAAGATAAAGGAAGCTGAAGCAAGCTAAAGGAAGCTAAAGGAGGCTAAAGGAAGCTAAAGGAAGCTAAAGGAAGCTAAAGGAAGCTACAGGAAGATCAAGGAAGCTGAAGGAAGCTCAAGGAGGCTAAAGGAAGCTAAAGGAAGATAAAGGAAGCTAAAGGAGGCTAAAGGAAATTAAAGGAAGCTAAAGAAAGATAAAGGAAGCTGAAGGAAGCTAAAGGAAGCTAAAGGAGGCTAAAGGAAGCTAAAGGAGGCTAAAGGAAGCTAAAGGAAGATAAAGGAAGCTAAAGGAAGCTAAAGGAAGCTAAAGGAAGCTAAAGGAAGCTAAAGAAAGATAAAGGAAGCTGAAGGAAGCTAAAGGAAGCTAAAGGAAGCTAAAGGAAGCTAAAGGAAGCTAAAGAAAGATAAAGGAAGCTGAAGCAAGCTAAAGGAAGCTAAAGGAGGCTAAAGGAAGCTAAAGGAAGCTAAAGGAAGCTAAAGGAAGCTAAAGGAAGCTACAGGAAGCTAAAGGAAGCTAAAGGAAGCTAAAGGAAGCTAAAGGAAGCTAAAGAAAGATAAAGGAAGCTGAAGGAAGCTAAAGGAAGCTAAAGGAGGCTAAAGGAAGCTGAAGGAAGCTAAAGGAAGCTAAAGGAAGCCAAAGGAAATTAAAGGAAGCTAAAGGAGGCTAAAGGAAATTAAAGGAAGCTAAAGGAGGCTAAAGGAAGTTAAAGGAAGCTAAAGGAAGCTAAAGGAAGCTAAAGGAAGCTAAAGAAAGATAAAGGAAGCTGAAGCAAGCTAAAGGAAGCTAAAGGAGGCTAAAGGAAGCTAAAGGAAGCTAAAGGAAGCTAAAGGAAGCTAAAGGAAGCTAAAGGAAGCTAAAGGAAGCTACAGGAAGATAAAGGAAGCTAAAGGAAGCTAAAGGAAGCTAAAGGAAGCTAAAGAAAGATAAAGGAGGCTAAAGGAAGCTAAAGGAAGCCAAAGGAAATTAAAGGAAGCTAAAGGAGGCTAAAGGAAATTAAAGGAAGCTAAAGGAGGCTAAAGGAAATTAAAGGAAGCTAAAGGAGGCTAAAGGAAGCTACAGGAAGATAAAGGAAGCTAAAGGAAGCTAAAGGAAGCTAAAGGAAGCTAAAGAAAGATAAAGGAAGCTGAAGGAAGCTAAAGGAAGCTAAAGGAAGCCAAAGGAAATTAAAGGAAGCTAAAGGAGGCTAAAGGAAATTAAAGGAAGCTAAAGGAGGCTAAAGGAAATTAAAGGAAGCTAAAGGAGGCTAAAGGAAGATAAAGGAAGTTAAAGGAAGGTAAAGGAAGGTAAAGGAAGCTAACGGAAGCTAAAGAAAGATAAAGGAAGCTAAAGGAGACTAAAGGAAGCTAAAGGAAGACAAAGGAAGCTAAAGGAAGATAAAGGAAGTTAAAGGAAGATAATTACTGGTTTGCAGTAACCCCCCTTGCCCCCCCTCAGAACGAGTCCATGAGCAATTGGTGATTTGGATGGGTGGCTTAGACGTTCCGCAATTCGCTACCGATTTTCCTCTACAAGAAGCGGAGGTTCAAATTTCCAAGCCATCAATTCACACCACCAATTAAGGATGATTTGAGCATTGGTCTTCGCAGCAGAATTTCCAACGCATCGTCGCTCCGGAAGCTTCCTTGACATGAACACAGATCAAGCAGGTAAGGTTGATTTTGTTGCCAGGGAAGGACACACAACTGACTCAAGCGGCTAAAAATGTATGATGACATTTCAACAAAACCGCGGCTCAAGCAGAAAACTCAGTTTCGTCTGGTTTTGGTAGCACTATCCTTGATAGAGAGATGCCTGGGCCGAGAAACACGTTGAGCGTCTGAAGGCTCGGTGCAACACTTTCACAGATTCATACTTGCCATGAGCCACGAGTCCACTTGCAGTTTCTCTTTCGCGCACCAAGCCCCGCCTCGGAGATATTTCATGTTCGCAAACGACCAGCAGCTTGAGCCCCAAGGCCCTGTGGACGTTCGTGGGTGACCCAATTTGCAATCCAACTGCATGACGTTTGGCCCAAGTCTAGTTCTGTCTGGCTGATGTTTGCGACATTCGTTGCACATATTAGGTTCCAAAGGACGAAGCCTGTACTCCCGCTGAGGGTTGACGTCCGGCAGCCTACAGGCCGTGCCTTGCAAAACAGACCGAGCTCCCCATGGCAGATTGTGATTGACGACAACACAATCTGCAAACGAGGGTGTTGTCCATGGGCGTTTGTCGAGATTTGGGCACCCAAAGGGTCCCCTACTTTGAGACAGGCCCATGGAATCTGCTTGCATGAAAGAAGGGTGCATGATTGAAGGGACACAGAAAGCAGCACTGTTTTTTCTCGCGATGGCCAATCTTTTGGTTGAAGGCTCGGGTCAAATCGGGCAAAGCTAGGGTTTATCGTTTGACCCCTTCCTTTTTGATTAAAAAGAAGTTTGCTGCGGTTTAAAGGAGATCCTAAGGGATGCTGATTCAAGTCCTGCTTTTTGTATGAGTGATACGTGTCAGTTCCATGCACCAACATGCTTTGGGATGATCGCCTCATGTTCGAGAATTGGACGGTTTTCTTGGAGAACAGTCCAACAAAGGAGTTTCACTATGCTAACATCCTTTCTGAACGGGTGAATGTTAAATCGACAACGTTCCCTTGGAACCACGGAAATAAGTTTGGCTTGAATAAACATTGGTCTCTGGGTGCTTGAAAGGGAAAGCATCCCCAAAAGTAATTTTGAGAACGCCCCAGCATGCAAACGTCACGAGACCCAGTTTGGGGCAGCTTTCCAGACTCAATTTATCCGGCCGGGCATTGGCCCCTCTGCGACTGGCGACTGCCCCTATAGTCTCAGGGGCGCTCGCTAGCCTGGCTGCGGGCAGAGAACATTTCAGGCACTGGTGCTTGATGATTTCCCTCAAACAAATGCTCCCCGAATACAAACGGGAAGGAGCAGGTTTTCAGACAGCAGCCTTTTGTTGGCATATTCCAACAAGTAGAGAAGGACGACCCCGTCTCTAATGGGTGTACAACATGGAACATCATAGGTGGAGCAGTTCATGGACGAGACCGTTGCATCGAGTGCTTTGATTCGGCCGGTGGCTGCCTGGTGCGACAAATCAAGCTCTATGGACTGATGAGTGCGCTCCTTGGCGTAGCCTCAAAGGCTTTTGTGGAGATGGAATAATTCTTTTTGGGTGTGGCGTGGGGGTGGGCCGCTAGAGACAGTGGCATCCCGTCACAAGCATGCAGAAACATCGCTTTTCCAGGCAGGACTTGAAAGCAACAGAAAGGAGCTGCTTCGGGCTAACGTAGGAAAACCAAGCAAAGCTTGAAGGTTGTAATGAGCCAGGGGTTGTTTTCACTCGAGTGCATCCTTCCCGGGATGAGGACTCTGCTAGGGACATGTTCAAAGAGAAACCAACATGAAACCCAGGCGTGCCCAGCGTCTCAAGCGACCAATTCTCTTTGCCAACAAGATAGCAAACAAAGTTGCCTGCATCACCGGCCAATTGATTTTGTCAAGGCACAATCAATGTTGAAGGGTGTTTTGACAATCTTGAAAGTAAAGCCACAAGGAATTGGCCACTGGTGCAACTTGGACTTTTGGAGATGTTCGGGCGGGCCCACTCCGCTTGTGCAGCTATTGGGAGACTCCACGACAACAGGAAGCCCTGTTCTTGATTGGTGATAAGAAGAACCAAAGGGAAACCTTTCAAAATGACACCATTTTTGGTTTGTGTGGCCCACTTTCGGCTGGTGGCAGCGCTTTCCTGTGACAAGTACTAATTGTTAACACAATGGCTGACCTCAGATATTGAGCCGGTTCCTAACATTGAAACACACAGCGCCGGGTTCACCCCGTTGACTTTCGGTTCTACCAGCATGGTTACCGGTTATCATGGTTTACATTGGCCTTACTACAACCCACATGGGGCCAGGTAGAACATTGAGGTATCCAAGCCACCCGCAGGGAAATGACCACAGGCTTCTGCCAGGAACTCCGAATTCTACGCGCCCGCCGGAAGTGGAGAATTGGCCACTCCCATAAGGACCAGTAGGTGTACAAAAAAAAGGGCTCTTTTGGTGGTTGTTCGCTGGAAACCATCGGCGCATGTAGTATACGCCTAGTATACTGAAAAGGGTTATAATTTAAGTTCATGTACGTATACATATATACATATCCATATGAAAACACATGCCAAAACACTATTTGAGTCACGGTGCTCATGCGTCAGTTGTTCCTGTTTGGAGCCTCTTTTCAACCCCCATGAAACCCCGGCCTTGACACCCCTCGCGGCAAGTTTCAGCTGGCGTCGTCAGCCTGGCGATTCGCAATCAGCGCTTCTCCCACGGCCTTTGCCTTTAGAAGTGTGGAAATGGAAGTCACCCATTTTGGCGGTGCCCAAACAAGGAGACAAATTCATATCCCTTGTTTACAAACGCATCACCGCACGGGACTCTCAATTTAAACTAGCCCAAAAGGTGCGGGAAAGCCTCCAAAAAGCAATCAACTTCCCCGGCTAGTCCATGTGCTTTCCGATAATGTCCACTTCGGATTACTCAGGAGGACCAGGCTAATGAGGGTTGGGTCCCTTTGAGGGAACAAATTCAATTTATGGGTTCCTCTGAGTATGGCCCCCCGCATTAATCCGCGGCAACCCATTCAGCTGAGGACCACTGTAGCTGAAGCCACCCGAGTCCGCCTGTAAAAGCTTCATGACCTCCGACTTGCCGTTGTTCCGGGCCACGTCGAAGGGCGTTCTGCCTACAAGCCAGAAGTGGGGGCAAGGCACATTTTTGGACCATGGGCCATGGGAATTCCCCGGCGTGCCGCCAGAGATGCTGAGACAGCGGATACTCACCAACAATGCTCCTGGAAAAACAGCCGATCGGCTGCCGCTTCTGGGGTCTGGTTCCTGTTTTGTCTGAAGCACAAGTGCTCTCCCCGTGCTTGGATTGAAACAAACACCAGCTGAAAGCACCCAGAGGGTCCAAACAAAAAACCTTACCAAGGCATAGTGACCCTCAAGGCTTAGGCCTTCTTGCTGGCACCTAGGGAGAACTACGATCTCATGAACGTGAACCCAGAAAGGGGTCCTCCATGAGTTATGAGGGCACTGACCACGAGGTCCATGTCGGCCAATTCCTGCCTGACCGCATTGTCCTAAAGTGGACATGGTCCCTTTTGGTGGGTGCCTCACATTTGGGTATAGAAACCACAAAATGGGACGGACCCTTGGCGGACATGATTGCATGGTTTGAATTTTGTCCACCAACTCTGGTTGAGGGGGTCCGCCGTGCCAATTCATGCCAACTTCATTGTGTGGCAGACTGCCTAAAGTGGCCCAAGCCCCGACAAGCAATTTTTGGGCCGTACATGAGGATTGGGCGATCCAGCCACATGTTTGAACGCGGCAATGAACAACGGTGTTCAATCATCTTCGTTTGGGTTTCCCGCGCGTCCATGGTCTAGCTGTTTAAACACATGTTGCCAGCCCTGCTGGTTTAACACTCAGGTTCTCCAAGATCCTTCTTGACTGGGAATGGGATTGCTTGGTTTAGCCTCTCTTCAGGTTCTTTCATGAAAAAGGAGCCAAGTACAGGAGCCCCCAGACACACGTCTCGTGTGCCAGGGGGGGGGGCCTAACATTTCCAACTTGGCTAATGTCTTGAAAGGAAAGCCAAACGACACATGTTGGGGTCCACTTCCGATTGATGCACCTCGCCCTAGTCACTATCTACGGGAACGCCGGAGTCGTATACCCTGACATATCCTTCACCCACTTCTGCAAGTATCTTATGAGTGGTATACAACACCTGCCGCAGGGGCAGGTTAAACATTAGTTGAAGGGACTGTCCACAAGGAACTGACTCAGAATGATGGCTTTCCTGTAGCTTTCGAAAGGGTAAAGCTAGAAGAAGGCGCGCCCAAACTGGCCGCCACGTATACGACGTATACCTACACAAACTATAGGGGTGTGCAACAGGAACACAGCCCCCATATCCTTTTCAAAGCATACAGTTGCCTCAAAACGACATGGGAACGAACCAAGGGAAACTCCCTGCTAGCCACACACCGCCCTCTCCCAAGCACCCGGGCTATCGCCGTTCTTCGCATCCTGAAAGTCAGCTCAATATTTCCGGCTTCGGAGCCAGCCTCTTCAATCAAAATTCCTGAGTGGCTTGGCCAGAAGAAGTCCAAACATGTCCAAACTATTGGCTGTGCCCCAACCTTGATTATGCATTGAACGAGGGCTCGCCACTTAAGGAGCACGACAGCACTGCTTGCAGGTCAGACAATTCTCATCTTTTGGTTGGTTCCCACTTGCCCCAGAAAGGGCTGCGCAAATGATGAGATCTGAACAGTTGATCAACAACAGTAGTGTGTACATCAGTCGTATCAAGTTTTTTTGAAAATAGGGGTCGATTCACCGAAGAATCAAAGGGGCGGTTTGGCAGTTGGGGCGGAAGCCTCCTCCTTTTCATGTACCCAGTTGTTGATTGTGATCACCTGCGTGGTGGACCTTTTGGATCGCAGAGGAGACCGCGTGTAGCCGAGAAAACCCCTGTGATTCGGGCTCTCAAAATGAAGGGCCAAACAATGGTGATGCGCCACTGTCTGCCCTTCAAATCAAAGCAGCAGGTACAGTGGGGTCCCCAAAAAGGAACGTAAACTCAGGAGCTCCTCTGAAATTTACCCAGGCGCCTCCGGGCTGTGGGTTTCCTGTTGATTTCCCGGAGCCATCGAGAAAGCGATCCCCGATTTCCAGACGGAGGAGATGAGTTGCTAGCAAAGTCATTGAACAGTCCATTGCCTGCGCCGTGATGTCCAATCAGCAGCATTTAGGACGTGAAAACAAAACACGGCACTTAGCAAAAATCATTGTATTTGATCCTTCTTTCTTTTGTAGAAATGCGGGGTGCTACTTTTTCACATGCAGCAGTGCCTTCAAAACAGCGGTTGTCATGCATAACGGTTGTTGGGACGTGCTGGTACCCACTGGGAAATTGGGGACCAGGCAACAAACGGGTTGAGTTGACCTCCTCGGGTTGCCACAAGTTTAAAATCCTGATCACCTGTTGGTTTTAACTTGTCTCGACCAAAACGGGGGCGCCCAGCGTGAAAGGTTGGCTTTGAGGAAAATCAATCCGCTGTTCGCTTTGGCAAGCCGGCGATCAACTTGACCCGCGCTTGCTTGGGCAGGAGTTCCTTCCCTGCCGCCCAAGTGGGACATTTGGAAGGGGCTCCCCGCCCTGCGACCCAGCCTTGTTGGCGCCGTGCGCCAGGAGCGCCTGGACCACCTGTCGATATGAATAACTTTCATAAGTGGACCTTAGGGGCTCAATTTAGTTGGCCAGGTGCTCAATTCAGGAATGGAAGAACATGATAATGAATCTGAAGTCATGTTAGGATTTTTCCCCTAACAGCTGGAAGTTAAGTGGTCTCAGCCCAGATAACGTTTGGGTGGCTCAGGGGAGCTCTGGAGTCAAGTCAGGTTCCGGGGTGGTCGGTGTGCAAGGTGTAAGGGACCATTGGAGGTTCCGAGGTGGTCTGGCGCAGGCAACGTGTCAGGTTCAAGGAAGGTTCCGGAGAGGGTTCCGTGAGGGTCGGAAAAGAGCGCCGCATGCTGTTGGGGATATCACCTGAGCTTATTCTCAAAGCCACAGAAGGTTCGAAAAGAAACTTCTTGGTACTGATCCAAGGGTTGGTCTTAAAGGTCAGCTGGATCGCGGGATATGGGATGGCTCCTCCAAATAGGTGGCAGGCTGGCAAAAAACCAGCCGCAAGAGCCGCGGCGCACATTTTCACTGGTATTTATAGAGTTATCCACTCAGCTGTTCATCCTTGGATATGGAGAGCCCAAGTAGGAACTCAATGGTTGAAGCAGCGGGAACACACAGTGTCTGGTTGCAACCTTTTGGATCACAATGCAGCACACATGGCCCAAAGAATGCGTGAAATCTACATACAGATCATCATTTACGGTCTTGTCCTCTTTGGTATGCTGCTCACGTGGCATGTAGTCCGCTTTGACTGCCACCGTCTATCAACTTGTTGAGTACCTGGTAGGTCCCTGTCTTCTTCGCGACAAGCGCAGCAAATTCATGTTTGTATTGGCTCACATGATGGCAATGTCCGTTTGCCACGATTGGTGTCAAGCTGGCTCGCGAGTGCAGTGTCCTTCAGTTCACCATAGCCCTCCGCTAAAAAAAGCGCCAGCAATACCGAGCTAACTATACCACCACGACCGTATTGCCACCTCACTATCACAAGCCAGCCACTCCAACACATCCAAACCAGTATATGTGCCAACCGCTAAAAACTTTTGCCGCTGCGCCACCGCATCGCGTCTAACCCAAAAAAGCCTAGTGTCTGCTTCACAACTTCTTGCCCACTCATGCTTCAGCTGCTTCCTCGAAATAACCCGCACAAAAGGATTTCGATCTTCCTTTCGGCTTCCCTTTAAACCAACCTATCAGCTGCTCTCTAATTGATGGATCGACATTGTCCCTGAGGTTCAAATACTAAAGCCGCAAACCTGCAAACCCAAACCACCAAAGGATCAAATGGGTAAGCCTCACAAAACACAGATGCCCTCCCCGCCCTCCCCCCTCCCTCTCCGCACCCTTGAGCTCCCACCTCGATGCGCCCCGAAAAGACCGCCAGGTGCATGGGGGTGTTGCCTCAGCCCATTTGGTGTTCCATGTCTGATTTCCCACGGGTCATTTGCCCCAATAGACGTTGAGCCCCCCACAAAAAGGGCGCTTTTCTGATGTCCCTGAGAGAAAAAGCCATCCCAAAAGAGGTCCATCGGAGCATGCCGCCTTCCCAGCAAGCAAGAGAGAGGGACCCGTGCTAAAGCTTGGAGCCGAAACTCTGGCGCAAGAGAAGCGAAACTGAGTCATTACGCTAAACAATGTGGGCTGTCAAAACGTGGCATGTCTCTTCAAAACCAAATTCATCGGTATAGAATGTGCCTGTTCGTTCACAAATACACCAACCCGGCACTTTTGCGATTCGGACAACCCACCTGGCAACCAAAGTCAACCGGGGTCCGATGTCCGGCCAACTTGGCAACATCGCATGGGCGCCGGACCGTCCTCATCCGCCTTGTCCTCCCACATAGCAGTTTGCCAAAAGCAAGCGATGTGTGTCTCATGATATGTAGCCCCCCAAAATGGGAGGTACTTGGTGGATTCCCTTAAGAAACCCAACGGTACTCCAAAAACACACGCCCGCCTGATTCAAGAGACAAACCAAACGAGCATTGATTGGTGCTCATAAACCGTAACCGCTTAATATTTAAGTCTCAAACCTTGATTCAAGAGGTCTATGATCTTTGAATCTTTCTGTGCAACTTAGACTACATGCTGCCTCGTCACCTCGTTGTTAAAACATTCGGTTGGTGCTCACACCGCCTCGTTAAACCCCGGGTCAACGCTACCTCGCAGCCTGCCTGCCCTTCTTAAAACAACTTTTTGAGCTCAGGGCTAGCAAAGCCGGAAAGCCACCTGGAGTGCTGAAAAACTTTCCAAGCTTCGAACCGTCAATTTTGCTTGTTTCCGGTCCCTGGCAGTGTCAGAGTCACCCATCTTCATTCGCAGGGCTATCAGAGCCGGAAAGCCACCTGCACCTGGAGTGCAATTTGCCTTTCAAGCTTTAAAAAGTTAATTTCGGCTGCTTCTGGCAGCTTGCAGAGTCGCCCATTTTCATGAGCCGGAACGCCACCTGGAGTGCTGAACAAACTTTTCAAGCTTGGACTTTGCATGGTTCGAGCCCTCGGCAGCTTGCAGAGTCATCTCAGAAAGATAATGTTTGCAAATGGTGATGTGCGATCCTAGTGAAAAGCAAACTCATTGGTCTAAGAGGCCTGTCGGGAGTTTTGAAGCCTTTTTTCCGGGTTCTTAGCTGATGCAGCAAACATGTATTCCAAGTGTCTGCTGCTTTTGGTACCTGGGTTGGCTTTTGGCTTCCTTTATTTCCCCATGGATAGGTGTTCGCTTCCCTTTCCTGTTGGCTCCTTCAAAATATTGTTGGACAGTAGATTCGAATGTCCATCCCGCCCTCGCCTGGCATCAAAACAAGGCGATCTAGTTTTGGCTCCTGGTTTCGTTCTGGTTCCGCCCTAAGGAATACATGTATATATATATACATATATGTATGTATATGTATATATGTGCATATAATATATTATATATATGCCTACGTGTATATTGACCACCCCTATCCCTCCCCCCCTTTCTCCTGGCCTTGTTGGCGCCCGCCGTCAGCAGCGCCTCCACTACCGCCAGGTGCCCTGCGGAGGCGGCCTCGTGCAGCGGCGTCTGGCCTTGGGAGCCGGGCCGCCTGAAGTCGGGAGGTCCTCCAGCGGGTGTTTTGGCGGTTTTAAAGAAGGAACCAAAAAGAAACACCCCCTTTTTGTGGGCTAGGTCCTACAGTAGAGAGCTTAGAATACGGGTACCCGTTTTTTTCTTCTTTTTTCGGTTTTGTCCATTTTAGTAGGGGAAGCCTCCCAACCAAAAAAGGGGAGAGAAGGACACTACTGGGGGACCTGTGGGTGGTTGGGAATGGGCCGCTCCGAACTCCCAAAACCTGGGCTTGAGTTTGGCCCACTTCAGGATGGGACATGGTGAACGCTATGCGCCAAGATTCTCGTGGCTCATAATAAGCTGAAGTGTGTGCTGAGACGGGTCTCCCCTATTCGTGCAACCCCAAAGCTGTCCTATTGCTAACCAGTGAACAAGCTTCCCTCGGAACCCTTGCCGTGCCGGGATCTTTGAACACCCCGTACAGGGATAACTGCTCCTGTGCTCATCTATGAGTAGTCTTCGGGCAAACCTGCGAAATGTAGTGAGTCTACAAGAAAAGTCTGAAATCCTGGGAACACCCGAACAAATCACAACGAATCCAATGCCGGAAGGAAGACAGCGGCAAAAAGAGCAGAATTTAAGTTCGAGCCCTTGGCCACTAGCTCCAGCATCTCTCACTAGGCTCTGCCAGAATGAAGGTTCTCGAGGCGGAACTCACATCCGTGCCTCGATTTCTTGAGCCGGACATGGAGCTTCATCCCGGAACGGAGGACCGGGATCTTCCGCGCATAACAATACAAAGGAAAGCCACCGGAAGCCATTGGAAGGCAGAAGTCACTGAAGCCAAAAGTCTTCAAGGCAAACCTTTCGAGCCCAAATCCTATGGATGCCACGAGGATTTCCGAATCCAACGGGCCCCCCGCCCGTTAAAAGGCCCTCAGGAGGCAGGTGCCCAGCCATCGAGCGCCCGGGCCTAGGAAGTTGGCGGCGTCCTGAAGGAAGCCCACTCCGGAAATGGAAAACAACAACTGCCTTAACAAACAAACAGACAAAGAAACAAACAAACTAAACAAGAACAAAAGCAACCAAGCAACAATATATATATATATTTATACATATACATATAGAAAGCTCTTTTGTTCTGAAGGGAACCAGTAAGAACCTCAGCACCTCCACGCCAAACAAAAACTCGCCGCGCCTTGTTGGCGCCGTGCGCCAGCAGCGCGGCGGCCACCGCCGCGTGGCCATACTCCGCGGCGAAGTGAAGCGGCGTGGAGCCTTGCCCCCGGTCGGCGGAAGCCGCGTGTCTCAGCGAGACACATGTGGCTATGGGTCCAAAATAGGTACCCAAATAGGTACCCCACAAAAAACACATGGGTGTATGTGAGACAGAATCACGAACATGTTGCAGTTTCCAAACACCTGGATTATGTGGGTGGGTGTGAAAGGATCTGGCCTGGTATGGGTCAAAAGTAGACCAACAGGGGACCGCAGGTTGTAGTCCATGTTTCCATTTGCCGGGGATCAATTTTGGGTACCTATTTTTGACCCATACCCATGTGGAAAACAAGGATGGGACCTGTCCCGTAGTGTCTTTATCATCTATGCGTAAAACATGTGCAACATCTGCAATTTTATACATATACACACCGCATGGCCCCTGAGTGGAATCCCTTCCGTCAAGTTCAACCAACAACTTCCCTTCTCCGAAGGATCGTTTGCTGGGTTGGGTCTATGTTTTTTGGAGCACCAGGTTTGCCAAGGCTTGACCTCATACCCCTTGACAACTGGGATATTTGGACCGTCCCAGTTTTCCGGGCCATCCGAAACATCCGAATGGTCCACACCCTCACCTGGGCCCTTCAGCTCCAAACCTCAAAACCCTCCTCCCACCCGGGAGCATCCGTCGGGTGCCGGGCTATCATCATCCTGGGCGTCCTGGCCATCCGAAACGTGCAAGCAGTGATTCCACGCGGTTTTATCGGGATCTGTGCTGCTGCAAAGTCGGAAAAATAAAATAACCAAAAAAAAAACGGTTTCGCTTCCGAACCACGCGAAGTTCCAAACAAGAAGTTGAGAACTGTTGGTCAACCGACCCAAGTCTTGTGATCTGGTAAACACGGTAGCATCTATGGATGTCTCAAAGTAAGATGTCTTGTTGCTCGTTCGGGGGGGAAGACCCACTTTGGAGAATCCGAACAAGGTGGAAGTCTGAACTGCAAGGGGGTTGGACATGCAAACTTGGGCCCATGTGTCCGAGAAACCTGGAAGATTCCATTACTAGGTCAGGGAATGATAGTTCGGGAAACGATTTGGATGCGGTTTTTGTGGATCCACCCCTGTAAGATACAAAAAAGGTACTAAAAGAGTACTAGAAAAGAGCCTACATTTGGAAGACCTACAGGGGGAAGAACAGGGGGAAGGACAGGGGAAAGTACAGGTGAAATCCACAAAAACCGCATCCAAACCGTTTTCTAGAATAGGTGGTTGTTCCGATCAGGTCGGGGGTTAAACCCTCTAGTACGGGCCTTATTGGCGATGGTCCCAACCCAACCTTGGCTGACTATGTCTGAGTCATGTTGGTACAGTGGAAAGAAGCCATGTCAGCAAAGGAAAGGGCATCGCGAGTGCATTCGTTTACATCCTTGGAAGCAACACAGCTCCCCAAATGGACATGGCACCCGACAAGGGGGCCAAGCAGGGTTTGCCTTTTTGATCCTCCGTGGGGACAAATCAGCCTTTTCCTTAACATCATCCAAAATCGGGCGAACTTCGGCAAAAGTCAGGTCTCCTCTAAAAGTGTACCCCTCATTGAAACGGTCCCTTTGTTGTCCAAAAAGAGGATCATGACCAGGGCATTCCCTCCTCTAAACCTTCTGAAGAAATACCAGTCATACAGCCCAAAGATGGCCCTTCTTCTTGTACTCTTGTTGAACAAGACATATGATGCATCGAACATGCCTACACTGCTCTCACAAACGCTTTTTGCCAACCTCATGTTAGGACACATGTAAGAGGAAGGGCACGGTTCGGGCAAATTGTTGTGGTGTTGGGAAGAAGGCAAGTAGCCAACATGTTGGCTTTCTTGGCAACATTGTCCAGCCGTCCAGACATACCGTTGTGAAGTGAGCACCGTGCCGCTTTGGACCTTCAGCTTTTGCCTCCAAGCACAATATGAAAAAATCCGGCCACCTTCCTCACCAAACCAGACATGTAGCATCAAAGTAGATCGCACTTTTGGGGGCAGTGGCCTTGCAACGGGTCCTTCATGAGGCATACAGCCTGAAACAATCACTGTGATTCAAATGTCATGTTGTCCACACCTGCCCTCCCACATCACAGCCGGCTGTGCAGCGAGTCTGACGTGGCTATATATGTTAACACGGGACCTGCCATGAGCTGACACACTTCACCTGAAATAAAAGACAACATCTTCATTCGGGGGTTCCATGTCGGTTAGTACGCACATATTCATTTGTTTGCAACTGATCCGTTCCCAACTCTCATGCCCCTTCTTAATCATTGCATCCTCAAAGAAAATAGAGCCGAAGTATCCCACAATGTACAGCACATGCCAGCCATTGAGAATCTGCCGCCGAACGGGGAAACGAAAGGGAGGGAACGTGTGACAGGACAAGTGGACAACTGTACTGGACAGATCTGGACAGATCTTTGGAATGGGGTTGCGGGAGACTTCAACATCAAATCGAGTCATGACCACAAGAGAAGCATGTGTAATATTCTTTCGGCCCCGCACCACATGGATACTGAGGGACGGCTGGATACTGGGATCCACTGGGAATGGAATGATGTTGAGGATAGAAAAGTTCATTCCTGTCCCTTCATCTAACCCTCATTCACCTGATGAAGGGAGATACAGAAAGGTAAACAAACAAGAAGAACAAAGAAGATTAATTCCTCAGCTTCCTTCACTATCCCTCACCACCTATCTTCACCGGATCCTGATGACCAAGAATACAGCTGAGGAATACATAGGCGTGTGGTGGGGCTTCATGTCCACCTCTTTTGAGGTGGTTCCAACCCTTTTTTTATTCCTTGCCCAAAAACGTCAGCTCAGGACAAGTCGAGTGCTGGTCTCCGGCGCCTTGTCCTTCCCCTCCGCGAGCAGCCGCTCCGTTTCAGCTACGTCGCCCCTGCCGGCCAGGACCCGATCTAGACACCTTTGAACCAAGCAGCTAAAAGGATCTGCTTGTTTAAAAATAACAAACAAACATTTTGTGGCGGCCAACCCCGGATTCAAACCTGTTTAAGTTGAAGACCACAGTATTTTCAGTACCCCCCTTTTGGTTTCCCTCGAAGGGGCTTGCCTGCTTGTT